GGAAGAAAAAGTACCTTTCTTAATCTTGTCGGAAACTAACAGAAAATCATCTTGAAGATGGTTGGCAAAATATTTGGCGTCGAAGAACTCTTCGTCTTAGTATTGCCTCCACCAGTCTTAAAAGACCATTGAACATAGAAAGTTGGGTTTGAAATCGAACAAGGTTAAAACAGTTTGACCAACATATCTACCAATTTGCTTGGTGGCAGCCTCTTCAGAATAGTCTGCATTATAATATAGAAAAGACTTTTCTCGAGCATAGATGGGATTTGGAAGCGATTGAATAATGCCAAACTGGCGAGAAACAAGGTTCGGCTGGTAAGAGATCAAGCTGAGTTGATTCTTGGAACTTTTGAATCTCAGTGGCATAATCCTTGGGTGTAAAAAGGGTTCCCAAACAACCACATATTCCTCGACATGATCGTCAGTTGAGGGATATGGTCGAGTAAACCATGTTGGACCAACCTTTCGATTAACAAATGGATCCATGGTCGAAATAAACTCGTTTCACTTTGCAAACATCATCACAAAGTTGGTAAAAGCCTTTTGGAATTGTTGGCCTTCATCTGTCGGAGTCAATAGAACTAATTTGGTTCCTTTGACCCTCCTGTTGAGAATTTCTGGAGCCTTCTCATTAATTGTGTTCTTTTGAGGAAGAAATAATTCGAAAGTGGCATTAAGCCAAAGTTGAGGAAGCCAGAAAGGACCAGAAAGAAGCAGGCTTGCTCTGTCACCTATAACTTTGAGTTGAGTCACACCATTACTGATGGACTCATAAAGATTGGCTAGAATTAATTCAGCCAAACAAAGGTTGTAGCCATGGTGAAGTTGAGTGGCCATAGTAAGCATTTTCTTTGTCACTTGGAGTGACTTAGTGCAGAAAACAAAACGGGATAACCATAAATCTATGAAAGCTATATGTTCCACCTCAGAGACAACATCGGTTGATTTATCATGAAAGTGGTTGATGAAGGGGGTATAAGTGGATTTTGTGGCTGAAAACCCAATGGTGTCTTCAGACATATCATTAGGGTCGAAGTAATCACAGTTGGTCAAAGGCCAATGATGGCTACAATATCAAAAAGAGTGGGTGTCACCATTCCACAAGGTAAATGAAAGGTGTAATGTGTTTTGTCCCAGAAATACAAAGAGGACGCCAGCATAAGAGGACAATAAGCTAACCCAGTCTTCGATAGCATGACTAGGTCATAAATTCCCATATCTTCCCAGATTTGGGATTGAGCTGCTTCCATCTTAACTAGCCACTCTGAGTATTCTAAGGTCAAGCTAGGGAAAGACCTAAAGATTCTATTACCTTTTCTCATGAATTGAAGGTTTATATCCTTCTTCGTCTGGGAATGTTGTTGGTTGGAAGGCGTTGCATCTTCAGGTATATTCCTAGGCTTCTTCGTGCAACCTATGGGTTTGAGTTTAGGGTGAGTTGGGAAAAAGGTGTTGTTTTTTTAGAGTTTTCAAAACACACGGACAACGGACCGGACATAACATACATTTGCCCAGAATATCTAACAGGAATGAGTACTTGTGATTTGTATGCATCACGTTCTTCGTTGGTCATAGGTTCAGGAATGAACCTTCGTTCCCCAGACGAAGTAGGAACGGAGTTGGTTGGGAAAACATCTATTTGTTGTCGTGAATCAGAGGCATCTTTTGTCTTATGGTTGTTTGGAGCATTTAAGAGAAAGGCCATGGTTTTGTTGGTAGAAAGATTATGAAAGAGATGAAGTTCTTAAGGATTGCTTTTTGAATGCAAAGAGACAAGGAATATCAAACGGTTGGAAAAAATTCCAAAGGGAGGTGTTCGTGGCTATTTATAGAAGCCAGAGAAGAGTGTTTTTCCTCAAAGTTATTTAATGCTCCAGAGTGAGTGGGACACGTGGTGATCTTTTGAGCAGTTGTATAGGCGAGTGATGGGAACGCTTACCATACTTTCCTAGGCTATAAGGATAATGATCATCATGGCAGCGTGTAATGGCTAACTGATAGTGACATATTGAAAAAAGTGTAATGATGGCTCTGATGTCAGCAGTAGTTGGTAGAAGACGAAAAGTTCACTATGAACTTTTGTGACCAAGAAATGGACAAGTGTCGAATAGAAATATCAAAGAATGACTATTTTTCCTTGTGTCGGAATTGACATTCTTGGGGGGGCAATTTGTTAGCTCCTAAATTCGACACTCATGCATATTGGCCTTATTGGCTAAAAATAGATTGAAGAAATCTAAGCTGAAGACACTTTGATAGAAGAGCTTATGAAAGGGGTTGTGTCAAAGTCATCTTTGTTAAGAAGGAGAAAAAACTTAGAGAATTTTTTAAGTTAAAGGCAGTCTTCGACCGAGAGGCTCTTGTATCAACAGCAAATGGATTTGAATTTGAAAGGAGGGAAAGGCAGTTTACTTGGCAGTTAGGAAAAACAATGTGGCGTGAAGATAGGGGTCGAAGAGCATGCAGATGACACTTGTCCTCATCCTGGAACGAAGCAACCGTTCGACAGTTACTTATTACTAGTATAAATATAGGAAATTTGTGTAGAATTTTGTGTGTTCAACTTATTGTACAAGTCACTCAATTTTATTCAAGTACCTGATGTGAGAGAAAGAATATTGAGAATGTACGTTTGAATCACCATACTTTATTACAATCAAAGTCTTTTACATTTCTTTACAATTCTTTCCGTTTAACATTTCTCTGTAAACTTTACCATTGCAGCCCTTTTTAAATTACTGCAAATTTACTTTATCCTGCACTTTACTTGCATTTTTATCAAGTTGTTTACCTTCATCCTACTTTTACTCCTAGTATCCTGTCGAACCTGTTCATTTAAACCTATTCAAACTCACAAACACTTAGCATATGTCCTAGGATCAAACAGATCGATCTTGCAAGTAACTAAAATAATCCTTTTTAGAAGATCAGCAGTTGTTTACCAATTTTTACGATAAACACACATACACAAACAAAATGTCTTAGTAGTAGTGTGTAACAAAAATTAAAATAAACAAGAAAACAAAAACAAAAATTAAAACCAAACAAAAACGTTGCACAAATGTTGCCTTCTTGAAATTATCAACAGTCCCCGACAACGACGCCAAAAATTTGATGACTTTTCAATAAGTGTACCGATAGTGTCGAAGTAATATAAAAATCGTATCCATAGAGTATGCTATTTAACAAGACAATTATTATGCAATGTTTAGAAAATACTAGGGGGGGGGGGGGGGGGGTCGAGTTTAATTTGCGAAAAGATAAAAAAATTTGTTCTGTCAATAATACAAAAGCGGTTAGATTTTGTATAGAATCCGTTATTTCTCCCCTCTTGATGCTCGATGTATTACATGAATAATATTGTTGCTATAATTCCACGACGAATTAACAAAACTACTATACCCAATCCTTGGTGTATATCTCACTAATCTCCACTAAAAGTCTCATATCCCTAGTCAACATGTGTAAGTGAGATTAGGCGATGCCAACAAGTTAATTCACAAGCCACTACTCGAGGTCTCATATCCCTATTCAACAGGCGTAAGTACAACAATTGCTCTAGGTCCAACACATAGACTAATAGTCAGTATTTCCTATGCGCCCAAAATCAGGTTAAAATAGTATCTCACATGAAAAATATTATGAACAAGAAGAAATTGAATAGAAATATAACTCAAATTATTCATGCAATAAAAAATCAAACATATGTCCCAACAGTGTTAAAATAGGTTCATCAAACAAAACTAAACCTAGAGAAACTTAGCTATTCATAATGATTAAATTACAATACCAAATAACAAGAAGAAGTTTGCATAAGATAATCCTTGAAGAAGTGGCCTCCAATGGTTTCAAATGCGCTCCAAATCTTACTTCTGGTACTGTAAATCGTCACTTGCAATGTACAATCGCAGAATCCTTGAAAAGATGCCAAAATCTCCTTTTAAAGCGTTCAGAAGACAGTTAGACGCGTCAGGAATTGCCCAGAAAAGGGCCCATCGTGTGCGTCATGGACAACATCGTGTGCATTGCGACTTTTACAGGTCCATCACGCACGCGATGGCTCGCGCAGTTATTTCAGTAAGTTGCTCGTTTTTGCTCCCTCTTTCATCCAAATTTCTCTAAGTCCATATTCTTCATACTTAGTAATTTTTGCATCATTCTTTGACCATTATTCTTCAAATTTGGTCATCTTTGACTTATTTCTCTCTGTTTCTTCGAGAAAATACATGCATTGACATAGTGTCATCATAGACTGAGAGATTGTTTATTAGTCTGAATTGATTCACGTCGTTGACTCAAACACAAACAACAATGAGAGTGGTGAGTGGTAATATTGATAGCCGATTAGAATTGCATATTACTGATCAATAATATTACATGAGATTGCATATTAATAGCATGCTAATTTTCTCAACTGTTAAACATCAAATTTATTTTAGTTTCTATTATTTTATTTTCAGTATTCACAAATAATCAAACATTAATAAACCATTCTGAAAGTAATACAAATTATTGAATGGTCTTCAAAATACACCGGTCTATGTGAAGACTATAAAGTTATTGTACTTGCTTCTATAGTTGCAGCATGCAATCAACTTGCTTTACTGCTGAAAAATGGTGGAATAATCCTTACGACTGTATGGATGTTTGTCATAACTAGGAGAACTACTGTATGAGGCTTCAAAGCATTGGGTTTTATTCAATGTGACTTATTTTGAGCTACAAAATATTGTTTCAGGTATTGACAGAAGCACTTGCTATGAAATACTCTTAGGGTGAATTTTGTAGATTTCTTATAGAATAAACGGCAATATCAAATGTGCTTGGAACTTATCACAAACTTAATGCAGAATTCAAAAAATAATAACACCAATTGTAGAGTTTTTATGGATATTTCAATTCTATCGTGTTTGGTAGCATAATACATCAAGATTAATACAACACCTACATAATAAGTTAGTGTTGATATGTTTTTTCATGCGAGTTATATATCTCATTCATTCATGTATAGATTCCAACTCTAAGGTTGAGTAATTAGTCGGAATTTCAGCAACTTTGATAGTATTTGAGTTAATAGGGTTTGGGGGCACAACCAAGTTTTCTTCATCTAAAGCCTCTAACATTCGAAGCACAAGTTTTATAGATGGACGGTTTATTGCGTGCCACTGAATGCACCAAAGTCCTATAATTGCAAGTTTCTTTAATATTATATCATTCTCTACTCCCTCAATTTTCACTTGCATATCTTTCCCTTCAAAGAGATTGTGAATCCATTCTGGATATAGAACTTGAGAATTTTCCTCAGACAACTGACTTATATTCTTTCTTCCTCCAATCATTTCTAATAGTAACATCCCATAACTATATATGTCTGCTTTATACGATATATTTCCAAAGTTTCTAGAAAATACTTCTGGTGCAATGTAACCCAAAGTTCCTCTTGCAGTAGTTACTGAAACAACGCTTTGATCTTTAGAACACAATTTAGCCAAACCAAAATCTGTAATTTTGGGAAGCAACTTGTCGTCCAATAACACATTGTGCGGATTAATATCAAAGTGAAGAATTTGTTGATCACAACTCATATGAAGATACTCAATACCCTTGGCTATGCCAATAGCAATTTGATGTAGTTTCTCCCAACCAAGAAAATGGTCCTTATCATCCGGTCGAGTTATAAATTTTTGTAACGAACCGTTAGAAAAGAAATTGTAAACAAGAGCACGATAGCATCCATCAGCACAAAATCCAAGCAAGCGAACCACATTAATGTGATGAACTTTTCCCATAGCTTTCACTTCATTAATGAATTCTTTTCCATCACTCTCTGTGTTATTAAGCATCTTCACAGCCACGAGAATTTCATTTGATAGTTTACCTTTGAAAACTGCTCCATGAGCTCCTTCACCCAACTTCTCTCTAAAATTATTCGTAACTCTCTTTATATCCGCATACGAGAATCTATCAGGATTGAGCGCCTTGTATTCCTCTAAGAATTTTTCAATTCTAGTCTCGTCCTCACTTTTCATTTTAAAATAGCTATACACACGTAAACATGCTGTGAGAATCAATGTCACCAGAATCAAACCAACGAACGGAACTGCACAAAACAAAACTAGTTGAGTAATTCTTTTTGAATAACAAATATAAAAAGTGAAGAAATATCTCTCACCTGTAACATATAGAATTATTTTCTTAGTAGGTTTGTGATGACGGTCAAAACATTCAGTCTCATCTTCTGTTCCGTTGTTTTTCAGTTTACACATCTTACCTTGTATTTCACACTTACTACAGTTGGGTTTTGACCATGTCAGTTGCAAGTAATTCTGATATTCCATATCTATTGGCGGGTAGACGGGTGAAGAAATAACATCTAAAGTCTTGGTCCAGAGTATCGGATCCAGACCCGAATCAAGGAGAGTTTTTGAAGACTCAACAACTTGAACCGGGCAGGGTATTGAGCTACAGTGGAGGAAAGTGAAGTTATAAGTAAAATTGTAAAACTCCACTAATTGAAAGGGAGAAGTTTGTGATTGGAAATGAGAGGTTTGATATTGAAAGAGCTTTAAAAACTGTCCTGGAATGCAATTTTCTGGGTCAGATAAGGTTAGAGATTGCCGGGGATAATCTATGCTTATGACTTGGAGAATAACTGGACCAGAATGTGAAGAAAGCTCAATTTGTGTTTTGTGTGTGTCTGAACAAGTAAGATCAAAGCCTCTATAACTGCACCCATTTTCTGTCTCATTGTCTTTAAGTCGGAAGGGAAATCGGATCCGCGGGCCGTCACGTCCGCATCTGGAATCCCTTCCACTACAACCATTAACTTGCCATATAACTGTGCTGCAAATCACTATGACCAACATCATAGTTGAACAGGTTGCCATTTTAGGAGTTATTATTGAATACTCGTTAGATGTGTCAGAAAACTAGACCACATGATATATATGGAACATAGCATTATAAGAATTGGATTTATTTTTTTTGATGTGGAAACTCATTTATTGCATTCTAGTTGAAAAGTCGACTGATGAAAATTGAGCTATTCAATGCATACGCGTAATTGAACCATTTTCAATGTCGTTCAATTTCGCTACTACTTGACGGTTGATACCAAATAAAATATTTAATAAATAAACAAAGTTGGACGTTTCTCCATGGTATTTAAGTAAACGCGGCCTAACATTTTTGTGAAACAAATGGTACATTTAAAAGAACACGCTAGACTACGTTACTAATGACTATGGTTTTAAATTGCAGTTGCAAATGCGGCCACCGTGGATGAGGTTGTGACCACCGGAGTTGTAGTTGTTGCAATGCAGATTACAATCATTGCGAAGTGAATTTATTTTTTATAAATAAAAAAAAAGTATACTTTATAATTTATTTTATATTTTATAATGTTTCTGTTTTCTCTCTAAATCTTTTTATATTTCATTAATAATTTATCATCATTTCGAATCTCTCGAATATTTTAAAAAATGTTTTGGACTGAGCCGTCACTTAGTCTACCGTCAGACAAGGCCCAACTCAATACTGCAAGAGGCTCAGTAACTTGTTGAGGACCAGACCTACACTTGGTCTCCGGTCGGGCAAGCCCACCATGGCAAACCAAATGACAATAACCGTCGAGGAACACCTTCCACAGGGCCTTGTCGAGGATCTGATCTCCTACAAGGGCACGTCAAGGATCTCTCTTCCACAGGAGCGTCAAGGACACTTCCTCCACGTATGTGCCGGAGACTTCTCCCTCACGTTCGTACCAAGAGAACGTGGCTAACGGTGTTCCGAATATCACGCAGTCATCCTGCTCCCGAAAAGAACGGGTCCTCACCTCCTAGAATCGCAGAGCAGTTGAACCAAGATAGGGACCATGAACTGGTCTCTATTATCCACGTGAGATCTTGGCAGTCTCCATTTTGGGCATGTGCATCCAGCCCGAATGGAGACCTTGGCCCAATGTGCCCTCTTTCTCTAGAGGGCCAGGTACATTATTCTACACTCTTTCAATACTTACACTTTACTTTGAACCTCACTTTGGCATCAGAGTGTCTTGCAGGTACCCCCACTACACTCTCAACGGTTGTTCATACCACGTTTGTAGATCATCGACGATCTATTCTAGTCAGGTACAATCAGTGGCGTCGTTTGTGGAGATCTATTGCTTCCCCGTCCTTTTCCAAAGACCAAAGAAAACTTTTTCAACTTTCCGATCATCGTGGCTGGTCAACACACCAGCGATGAAGAGAACGTTCACTTCGCTGACATCCGTAACAACAACAATAACGAAGCCGGCGTTCACCAACATGATAGTAGGGACGAAAGGACTGCATCCTCCTCCACCTGTGAACATCCCCTTGACAACCCTCATCGATAGGTTGAGGAACCCGTGGTGTACCAGAAAATCCTTGTGCCAGCCAATGTTGATCCCATGACCCAGGTCCTGTTCGCGATGATCAATCATACCAACTACCCGATCTTTGCGCAGGACGAATGGATAAGAATGTTGGAGAAGACCCACCGGTCAGGCTCCCCAAGAATACATTGAAGACATGACTCTCGTAGTGCATCCTCGCGACTCCCGCAAACACAAAGGTCCAGCGGGCCGCTTCACTGAGTACACTCTGTTGACCGCTCCCCGCGAGCAGATCTTTGCCGAGTGCATCAACTCTGAGTTCAAAGAAGGTGGTGTTCGGTTTCCCAAACCTAAACCCTACAAACCTGGAGTCGACAAGACCAAATACTATTATTTTCACAAGAGTCACGACCACGTCACTGAGGATTGCATCCACCTCAAGAATGCGATCGAAATCCTCATCAAGGAAGGCTGTCTGAGGCAGTACACCTGGAGAAACGAGCCTCCCCGACAGGGTGTTCGGGAGGTAAAAAGGGTTGATGAGGAAACAACGCCATCCAACGATGCTCCTATACAGGTTGCCATGTCAGTGTCTTAACCCGAGGATTTCCTTGTCTATGAGGAAGACGACCTGCCTATCTCTGCTCACAGCACCTAGGAGAGATTCCCCACCACCATGGTCACATCTTGTTGGGGATTTGACCCAATCACCATCGGGTTGGTGAAGAGAAAATTTGAGGAGCTGATCGATGCAAGCTTGGTCGTCAAAATAGCAAGTGTACTATTTTTCCAATGTAGTAATAGTAGGGAAATTTACCGAATATCGATCTCGAGGACTTCGTATAAGTACCGAGTTTAATGTGTGATCCTATTAAACAAAAACTTAACGTTTAGTTTTGGGTTGGAGTTTATCCTTGCAATTATAAAAATTAAGCAGAATGTAAATTAAGGCTTTTATACTAATATGAGTACTATGCTAGGGGTGAGTGTGTGATTTGCCCTATAACGATCTTGAATCCTGATTTCTTCAACAAGTTCAAAACATTCAACTTCCAACCCTTTAGATTATCCCCCCCTAAGTTCATACTAAGAAAACCTTTGACCATTCATCCTGAGCCTAAGTCCTTAGAGATTTCTGATGGAGTCAAGCATTTGTTTTATCAAGGGTTAACCAGTAACTATAGGATATCCCTAGTTCTAGGTGATATCTATTATAGTCTAATCGTACAAAAACCTTAACAACCACAATCCAGTTGTTGGCTCTTGAATTCGACACCTACTATATATTGACCCCATAGACCAAAAATAGAATAGATAAAGCCAAGCTGGAAAATACTTCGAAGGATGGGAAAAACTTAGAGAAAATATCTGAGTTACAAATTGGTCTTCAACCAAACATCATCATCATGCCTTCGACGGGAAAAGTCATGTGGCCTTCGACTAGAAGAGCAGACCTTCATGTCAGCACCAAAGGTAAAGTATATTTGAATTTGAAGATTGGAGGGAAATGCAGTTCACCAGCAGTTAAGGGAAAGCGACGTGGCAGGAAGATAGAGATCGAGGGACATGCAGAAGACACTTGTCTTCATCCTAGAAGCCAAGCCACCCTCGACAGTTACTTAATTTTAGTATAAAACTAGGAAGTTTGTGTAGGATTTCTGTGCGTTCAACCTATTGTGCTAGTTACTCAATATTATTCAAGTACCCGTTGTGTGTGAAAGAATAACTGAGAATGTATGTTGAAAACACCATTTTTTATCTATAAAGTCTTTTTACATTGCTTTAATCTTCTTTGCAAAGTTACATTTCTACATCTTTACCTGCATTTCTAGTTGCTTTCTTACTTTCCAAAACCATAAACACAATATCCTTGGTCGAACATGCGTTCTTCCTATATATCAATTTTCACATCAAACCAACATAAAAATTAGCATATGTTCTGGAATCAATCTGATCGATCCCGCGAGTAACCAAAAGGACTTTCATTTTTTGGAGGATCAGCGGTTGTTTACCAAAAACCACGGTAAACAAATTGGCACACCTGGTGGGACGTTGCTAGTTTTTATCATCTATTTGTTCATGTTATTGCTTCCCTTTTATAAGTATACAGCGTTGCATGTTATTAAGAAGTGGTAGAATAACCAACGAGTGTACTGTTAGGAAAAGAGATAGAGAGAGTAGAATGGCTAATGAGCCAAATCATGGAGAAATAACTCCACCAAATACTATTGGAACAACGGTTATGACTACCGTTGGAGAAAATATCTCAACTACTGTTGGTTCAGTACCAACATTAGCCACGAATCAAACAGGACCCTTACTTTCGTATGTGGGTCCTAGAGGTCCTTTAGGAACGCCCCCACCAAGGGAAAATCTAGGATCTCGACGGATCTCGACCATACATTCCCCCTGGATTCTCAACAGCCTGGATGGGTCGAGAACAGCCATATGGCATGCCAACCACTGAAATGGCTAGCCTTATGAACGCCGCGTCTACTTTTTCAGAACCTTTGGTGAGTGCATCATCGCCATTACAAGGATCTGGAGCCAGTATGGCAAATTTGGGTAGAAACCAAATTTTAGGAGGACAATCACATGCAATACCAAGCCTCACAAATGCTTCTACAGTAATTTTGAGGCAACAAATGGACGAAAGCAACCATGATATAGTGCAAATGTTGGCACAAACTTTGAGTAGTGTTAAACCCCCTAATTCAAAATACTACCCAGTCAAATCAACAAATGGCAGCGCAAATGACGCGCATGGCTGAATTCTTTGGGGTACCCCAAACTATTCGACAACCCCAAAGAATACCAATAAGAGTAAACCAAGGGGTAATCATGAAAGAAGATTTAACCGCTAATCAAAATCCACAGATCCCTAGAGTAGGAATAGAACAACCTAGGTTCGAAATACCTCGAAATACCCCACCAATCCCTAGAGAAATCGATCAAGGAGTAATTTTGGTGAATAGGAACCAAAATGCTGATGAATTGATACAACAAGTTCGACACCAAAATTATGGAACAAATAATAATCTGACTACCATGATCGAAAGGATTATGACACAGAATGGGATGAACGTTGGTTTTCACAGACCAAACTTCACATCCCCATTGTCAGAATATATCCTGCAAACAGAATTACTCCCTAGGGGAAAAGTCCCCAAGTTTACCAAATTCTCAGGGGATACGACAAAATCTATTGTCGAACATGTGGCGAGATATTTGATAGAAGCCGGGGAAATAGCGAACAACGAAAACCTTAGGATTAAATACTTCCCAAGCTCTCTAACAAAAAACACTTTTACTTGGTTCACTACCCTCCCAGCCAATTCGATCCATAATTGGAATCAATTGGAAAGGTTGTTCCATGAACAATTTTACATGGGACAGACCGAAATAAGCCTAAAAGAACTGGCTAGTGTGAAGAGGAGATTCACTAAGCTAATAGATGAGTATCTAAATAGGTTTCGACTGCTTAAAGCCAGATGCTTTACCCAAGTTCCTGAACATGAATTGGTCGAAATG